TTTAGTATCATGAATAGTACAATAATATTAAAAAATATTTCCGAAAAAAATGTCAAAAATGGAATAGGTAGATACAAATAAAAATGTTAGACACAAAAAAAAATTCATAAAGACAAGCTATTTTTGCGAACGTTTGACTACAGAAGTAAGGTCATCATATATATGTATGATGTACTATGTACATACAGACTGTAAACAGGATCATCAGAGTTATTTATAAGAAATTTAGGTACCATGTAACGAACTTAACCTTAAATTCTTTCGCGCTTACGACAGTTAAATTTTTGACAAAATTTTTTCAAAATTTCGTACAACAAAATTGACTATTTGAATATTTTAGAATGATACTGTTTTTATCCAGTAACAAAAACTTGGGTGAAACACGAAAGAGCTTGAAATAATTCAATAACAGATTGACTTAACATAGTGTCTTTTAAGGACTTTTTTTCTTAAAATTAGAAGCATGATCGCACATCAACAGAAAATATCAAATAATTTCTCAATCATTAGAGGTAAACGGGGGTATTACTGCGGTTTTTTTAGTGGTTAGCTTTAAACGATTGTCTAAGAAATTAAATGCATCAAATCGTTGTGATTTTTTATTATTATTAATGTTGGACTCAAAAACCATTTATTCCCCCTTTAATAAATGTATAAATTCATGAATATCGATTTAAAAAGAGGTTTTAGAATTTAGTTGCCAATGCTGGTATTATTGCAGGCCTGTTATGTATTATTGTGCACGTATTATTGTGGTCAATTTCAATGCTAAATTAACCGGGTATCCGCAATAATACCATTATAGTGAAAGAGGTTATGTGTGCACCAGTTATTGCGGACGTGATTTTTTGTTATACAAATGTAAAGTGTTTAAGGCTATTTTTGAACTGAATTTCAATGAATTAGGTACTCTATAACTTGATTTAATAATTTCAAGTACTCACTATCCATAACTCATCAGTTCAATTAAAATATACGCATTATTCGAGAGTGCCACAATAATTGGAGCAACCGCAATAATACCCTCGTTTACTCCTATATCTTTGGTCATTGTTTCGTTTTCTTGAACTTAATATCAATATTCATTCAATTGACAAATTAATTTATTAATATTATTGAATATCAAAACAAGAAATTAAATCATTGCAAGTGCCAAATCAATAGAAAAAAAACACATGTGTGTTCCAATATTTTTAGTAAGGATATTAACTTTTAAATAAATAATGTTGTATATACTTTGCATAACAAATATACTTATTTTCTGAATAATAAAACTATAAATTATGTAAAAGAAGAAATGTAATCATGTTACAGCATAGATCATGCTACTTACAAAGGTGTTAATAAATCTGATAGTTACATTTACATCCTCCAATTGAGCTTCGAAGCAAAATTTGTAAAAGCTCATCTCTGCATGCGTCTAATTTACAAATTGAACATCATTTATGTTGATACGAAATAATGCAATTAATCAATTTATTAAAAATTCAAGATCAAAAAAGCACTTCCGCAGCACTCCCTTAAAGGTGGTGTAGAAATGTATTCACAAATTATACAGATGAAATAGTTATTAAGGGAGTGGCTGAAGAGGGCTAGAACAAATATTGGAGCATTGCTCAGACAAATTGTAAGATAGCAGAGGTAGATTTCTATGAAAGTGTAAGAAAAACTGAGAGGGGCGTTGTAAAAAGTTATTTAACTAAAAATGACATGATAACTAACATTAGTTTACCTCATTATGAAATGCAGCTGAAGGGTGGCTGAAAAGAGATATTTAAAACTGTGAGGTAGACTGATGAAAATGTCTGGTTACTGGGTTATATAATTGTAAGAGTGACTAAAAATGTTGGAGGGAGGCGAAGGAGGGCTCAACAAAAATTTAACCCAATAAAAACAAGGTAAGAACCAATGGAATCTTATCTTAGTTACAAAGGGGGCTAAGAGGGTGGAGAAGGGTTTGGAATAACCTGCCAAAATCTCTATATAACATACACACACACACACACACACACACTACTGGAGCTCCACCCCCCTGCGCGCTCCACGCGTCAACCACCTATTTCAAATTTAAGGACAGGTTTGTCACATTACTCCAAACAGTATTTGACATCATGATCAAAAACCACATAGCAATCAATTATATATTTACGATGACTTAGTTGTAATTGAAAAAAGATTGAGATCGAATAACAATTTAGTTGAAAAACATAAATAAAGTTTAACAAAAATAATAAATGATAATCCTTTTGCAAAAAAATTTAAACATTTACATGAAATTTCAAACGTTCAAAATTTACCAAATTATAAAATCTAGTTTATACGAAAAAATGATAAAAAAAACATCATATATATAATAAACCTCTTATACCAAAATTTGGTGCTATTATTGTTTCCAATTTGGGTATAATCGACAGTTACGATTGAAATTTTTATCCAAAAAATTTACCACATGAGGTTCCACTTAATACCTGTTGAAATAAATTATTACATTTCGTAGATCCAATAGTATTTTCCTTATTTCTTCCATACGGCGATTTAGGATGGAGTTTAAATTATGATAAAAATTTAAGAAGTGAAAAAGATAAACACATTTACAACATTATTTATATAGACTTTCATATAGACCTTACTCCGAAAAGTTTAATCCTCTACTGTACGGTGGACGATTAACTCAACAATTTTTTTTTTATGCATACATTATGGTGAAGAGTAATAGAACAAATTTTTTTCAGAATGATCAAAAAACACTAAGAATAGAATGTTACGAAAGATTATTGGATCATATTATAAATAACGCTTCAAATATTTAAAAAAATTTCAAAAATGAAAAAGTCGGCAATCTTTTTATCATACCTTCAGAATATACAGGCAGTCCTAGATATATGCAGCGACATTACCAAGACTCTATGGCTATAATCAGTTACGTGTAACCCAAAATGGAAGAAATTGAAAGAAATTTTGAAAAAATTTTCAACAGGAACAACTCCCAACGACGTTCCTTACATAACTGTTCGTTGTTCTATGCAAAATTACAGTCAATTTTAGATGACATTATTAAAAAAGACATTTTTGGTAAAGATATAACATATGTTTATACAATCAAATTTAAAAAAAGAGGATTTCTGCATACCCACATTCTAGTTACATTACATCCAAATAATAAATTAATAAAACCATAAGATGTAGATAAACATATATTAGCTGAAATTGTAACTGACGATGAAATATTAGGAAAATTAATTATAAAATACATGCTTCATGGACCTCATGATATAACCACTTCTTTTTACCATTCAAACAAAAAAATTTTGTAAAACAAATATTCCAAAACAACTTTGTTCAAAAACTTCCTTTAAAAAAGATGGTTATCGCAAATGTAAAAGAAAAGACAATACAAGTAATAATCATCATTAAAAAATCAAGAACAGTAACATAAAAACTCCTGTTAATAATTGAATAGCTGTTCCTTATAATAAATACTTATTAAAAAAATATAATTGTCACGTAAATGTGGAACGTTGAGCTTCAATCCAAAGTATCAAATATATTTTTAATTACATTCACAAAGGCAGTGACAGGGTTTTTCGTCAATTAGAAAAAGAAAATAAGTCTGAAAATCCTGAAATAAAAGATGAAATAAGTCAATACGTTGATGGACATTACTTAATTCCCATGGAAGCAGCATGGAGACTTCAAACATTCCCTCTTTGTGGTAGAAGTCATTCAGTATTCCAGTTGCCAGTTTATTTAAAAAATAAACAAAAAATAATCTTCGAAGAAAATAAGGTAGAGAAATTAATTTTAATTGGAAAACTTCTTTGACAGTATGGTTTGATTTAAACAAAATAGATACTTTCGCAAAATCTATGAAGTACGTTGATATTCCAGAATATTACTTATTCAATAATAGAGTGGAAAAATAGAAAAGAAGAAATCATTGACAAAAAAATATTACCGTAGGTGGAATGAATTTTGTTCCTCCAAAAGACCAAGAAAGGTTTTATTTGAAATAAATGTTAACAAAGTAAGAGGTAAAATATCATTTTCCGATTTGGAAACTCCTGATAATATTGAATGTGATACATGTAAAGAAACAGCTACTACTATGGGATTAGTAGAAAATGATTTAAACATGGACAATATTTTATGAGAAGCTAGTAATGTAATGTTACCATTTTAATTACGTAATTTTTTGCATGATTCATGATATCCGAAAATTTTCAAGAGAATACAATTTGGCTAACATAAAAAATTTTTCTTTTAAAATTGTAAAAATCATAAAAATACAGATCTTTTACATCTCAATAAAATTTTTGATTCTAATGAAAAATCTTGCGTGGATTTTGGTTTACCAGAACCCATCACCCACACAAAAGAAAATTCTGTTAATGACACAATTGAAAGTGAAATGTACAAAGTAAAATTTTTTGAAATGTTTTTAAAGTTACATAATGATCAAAAACTTATTTTTGAAAAAGTTACCGAATTTGAAAACAAAACTTTTTTTATGAACGGTCCTGGTACACGGAAAAATTCTGTCACAGCTAAAGGCGGTGCAGTGCTGCTGGCGAAAATAGCGTGCGTGGTGGGAGCGCAAAACAACGTGCGCAGACAGCAAAAAAAACGGTACGAACGCGCACGTGATTTCGAGCTGCAGATGCACGATCTTTTCCCGTGCGAGCCACTGGAATTTCGACTGAGTGGCTCCGGTATAGTTCGACACTTTTTTATTAATGCCTAACTATGTAACTTATATGCAAGTATGCGTATAAGTTACATAGATAAATTAGCATTTATAATAAAAAAGCGTTAATAAATAAGTGTCAAACTATACTGAAGCCGCTCAGTTGAAGTTCCAGTGGCTTGCACGGGAAAAGATCGTGCATCTGCAGCTCGAAATCACGTGCGCGTTAGCACCGTTTTTTTTGCTGTCTGCGCACGTTGTTTTGCGCTCCCACCACGCACACTGTTTTCGCCAGCAGCACTGCACCGATTTTAGCTGTGACAGAATTTCTCCGTGTAGTTCTGGTAAAACTTTTTTACATAAAACGTTAACATATTATTTTATTCCATTAAATAGAAAAACTTTGCTTGGACAGGTATAGCTTCGATTTTTTTATCAAAAGGAATGACGAGCCACATAACTTTTAGATTACCATTAGATTTAAATTTAATTAAAAGTCCTTTTTTAGAATTAGAATCCGATAAAAAAGGATTACGTAAAGTTGATGTCATAATTTGGGACGAAGCTTCCATAATACAGAAAATGCCTTAGAAATAGTTGACATAACTCTAAGAGATTTGTATTATACAAACACAGCGTTTAAAAACAAATTAATAATTTTAGGAGGTTATTTTCGTCAAATTCTACCTGTAGTTAAATATGGTGATGAACTGTACATAACAGAAGAGACTTTTAAATCTTTTAAATACTCAAAGACTTTTGTCATTTTTATTGCATATTAGTAATGGAAACATAGATTTTTTAATAAATACCTTAATAATGAAAAACAAACAATTAATGTTCGAAAACTTTTGGTATTGTTCATAATTCTCCAATAAATAATGTAAAATTAACGTCCCATGATAAATACACTTTTTTTTGAACAAAAAAATTTTAGGAAACATGAAAGAAGAAAACAGAACTTATTATAGCAAAGATCATGCTACTCATGAAGAATTTGATAAAACAGACGATAATGTTTACATAAACTTTCCAATAGAATTTTAAAATAATATTCGAGAGGGACTTCCACCACACGAATTAAATTTAAAAATTAGTGCTATAGTTATGTTAATAAGAAACTTCAGTATTTTCAACGGCCTTTGTAATGATACAAAGTTAAAATTAACTTAATTATTTAGATATAACATAAAAGCAGTAATAATTACAGGTGAAAAAAAAGGATATAAAGTTTTTATACCGAAAATAACATTAAGTACAAGTAGTTTATCATCACTTCCGTTTATTTTGTACAGAAAACAACTTCCGTTTGCATTAGCTTTTTCGATGAGTATTCACAAATCTCAAGGTCAAAGTTTTGATTCTGTAGGATTATATGTTAAAAAACCTTTATTTTCTCATCGACAGTTATATGTTGCTCTTTCAAAATGTAAAAATCCTAGTAATACCTCCATTCAAATTAAAGCTGAAAATGAATTTGAAATACAAAATAATGTTTGGTCCAAAATTTTTCAATAATTCAAAAAAATTTCGATTCTCATCTATTCACACTATCCATATTGAGAAATCTTTTAAAAAATTTTTAAGGTAAAAAATTTTTGATACATCTACGAATGTAGACTCTATGGCTATAATCAGTTACGTGTAACCCAAAATGGAAGAAATTGAAAGAAATTTTGAAAAAATTTTCAACAGGAACAACTCCCAACGACGTTCCTTACATAACTGTTCGTTGTTCTATGCAAAATTACAGTCAATTTTAGATGACATTATTAAAAAAGACATTTTTGGTAAAGATATAACATATGTTTATACAATCAAATTTAAAAAAAGAGGATTTCTGCATACCCACATTCTAGTTACATTACATCCAAATAATAAATTAATAAAACCATAAGATGTAGATAAACATATATTNTTTATTTGCAATGTATGCAAAAAAAAATTTTTGAACTCTTAAAAGTTAATAGAACATAAGAAGACACATCGAAGATTATGATACGTTTGTGATACTTGTAAAATTGTATTTAATTTAAAACAAAATTATGTTAGACATCAAAAGGAACATAGTTTAGAAAAAACAATTACATGCATATATTGTAATAATAAATTCAACACATTTAAATAGACATATAAAAATTCACAGTAAATGTGTACAAATTTGTACCAAATCTGGAAAAGGGTTTCCAAGGTCAGAAAACTTGAAAAGACATATGAAAATTCACAATTTATAAATTCATAGTGTACAACGTTTTCGAAGTAAATTATTATTTTGCTACACGAATAGTTTATTTTTCTTCATTATTATATGATATTTTCATAAACAATTTTACTATCATACAAGCTTAAGACTTCTTAAAAATACGTCTAAGTCTCTTGTACAATACTAACATTGATTAGCGCAATCATTACAGCTACCCAACAAAACGCAATTAATTTCTAAACTGTTATGGTTGTTTAGAAGTAAGGTGGGGATAAACGAGAGTGAGGGGAGACTTCCCTATGCTAATACATTGGGACGTGAATTTTTGTCTTTCCGTTCAAATACTTTGCTCAGAAGTCCCCAAATGTTAATGATCTTAGTATTGATTTATGCGAAATATTTTTAACAATTTGTGGCTGTTTTTTTTTTCAAAAAAAGTTGAATATAACGCAAAGACAAGTACAACTAACTCTCTCCATTAACACTGTAGTTGAGCGGTTAAAATGACGCAACTTTACGATTTTTTTACTCCGTTAATAAACTCCCAATCGAACTTGAATTTTACAGAGACATGGCCTAAATAGTTGACTATCTATACTATTAAGGAGGCTTGGGCGACTTTAGTCGGCTTGATCAAAACTTCTGAAATTCTGGAATTATGTAAATAAAGTATGCGAAATTCATTTGCAAAAAGAAAATACTGGGGTCAACCACTTAATTTTTTCGCAAATCGCTACTGAAAATTCACCAATTGAATACTTACTCTTATGGACACTAGTCGCAAAATCGACTATATCTTCGAAAATCTTTGATTAAGCTCAAAAATTTAAAATATTTCTTGTGTATTTTTGTACAAAGAATCTATTAAATTCTTAAAGATATAGGGTCAGCAACTTAACTTAAGAGAAAATCAGAAGAAAAGTATGAAATATTTATTTGGCTTGCCTCGCAACATCTCCCAATTTTCACAATTACAATTTTACTGAACTATTCAGGCAATTTCTTGATCTTGTACTTTGGTTTTATCGAAATAACTATATTTATTGAAAAATTTACCGTCCAAAAGCGTTGATTTTTTAGGGGCCTTTATGGCACCCTACCCAAGATATGGTATCAACCGCTCAAGCCACCTTAAAGTCAAGTTTTTCTCATTACTCGTGATTTTTTTCTAAACAACCTTAAGTCCTTAAAATCTGGACCCGTACTTTAACCACACATGCAATTCACCCCTCAAGAATTAAACCAACTTCAAGATAACCTAATGAGCTTTAATAAATCTTGATCACAATACGGTATGAATTGTGAGGCATGGGTGGGGGACCAAAAAAGGATGGGGGGTTAGAGGCTGAGTCTCCTTGAAATAACTATATAATATAGGAAGAACAATTCACCCCTAAGGAATGAAATCGACTCCAAAATAACTGAATTAACTTCGTGGAAAGTCCTAGACCAAAAATTGGTTTAAATTGTGAGGTTAGGGGGAGTGGAGAGGAATGGAGGGGGGTTTGCGACTGAATTCACTTGAAATAACTATGTATTTAGGAAGATATATACAAGAGCGCGTAGTGGCTTAGTCGGCTAGGTCTTGAATCGGCACGCAGAAGACCATGGTGCGATTCCCGGCCAGTGCAAACTTTCGGGCAAGTACCTCTGGGATTTTTCATACGTGCTTTTTTACCACGCAATGCTCCTTGTGATGGAAATGAGCAAATTCCTCGCAGCAAAATTGTCTCAGTCCCCCTACCCCCCTCTTTGTAATGGGAGGCCTTCCTATTTCTCTTCCCTTCCTTCTCTCAAGTGATCAGTGCCCATTGTAGTGCCCTTATTAGGAGCCGGACGTATAGCACTTTAATATAAAAATATATATACATACACATAAGTCTGCAGCCCCACCAAAGCCACTCGATCACTCTTTAAATGCAAAAAGATTGAAGAAAGATGCGTGAGAGATGGAGGGGGAGGAGACAGACGGAGGGGGGTTAAGGAGGATGTAATTGAATACACAAAACAGCAAGAAAACAAACAAATAAAAAGGTATTTTGAGGGGGATGGAGCGAGGTTAGAGGCTGGATAAACTTGAAATAACTATATAATATAGGAAGATATATACATATATATCTTTCTATATTATACAGTTATTTTTAAAGGATTCAGCCTCCAACTTCCCTCCATCCCCCTCAAATTACCTTGTTAATCGTTTGTTTTCTTGCTGTTTTAATAACTCATTATATCCCCCTCCATCCTCCTCCACTCCTCTGCATCCCCATCTATCCCCCATGCACCTTCCAGCCATCCCCCTCCATCCCCCACCCTTCTCCGCAGTTAAAACAACTTTTAAGAGTTTAAGGGTATAATTGCATTTTGTTGGGTCGTTGATATAATTGCACCATCAATTCGAGCGTAGTACACGATACATTTTTAAGTAGACTTTACATTGTATGATAGTATATAAGATATNATCCCCCACCCTTCTCCGCAGTTAAAACAACTTTTAAGAGTTTAAGGGTATAATTGCATTTTGTTGGGTCGTTGATATAATTGCACCATCAATTCGAGCGTAGTACACGATACATTTTTAAGTAGACTTTACATTGTATGATAGTATATAAGATATATTTTGAAAAAGTCTTAAAATTGTATGACAGTAAAATTTTTTAGAATAATCTCCCGTTGTAATAAAGAAAAATGAATAAATTTATTTTCAAAAATTTATACACAATTAATGTAGAAATTGTGATTTTTTGTATGTCTTTTTAAATTTTCTAATCTCGAAAATCCTTTTCCACATTTTGTACAAATTTGTTTAATTTCACATTAACTGTGAATGTCTATTTAAATGTGTTGATCTTTTAAATTTTTTATTACAATGTATGCATGTGAATGTTTTTTCTAAACTATGTTCTTTTTAATGCCTAACGAAATTTTGTATCAAAGTAAATACAATTTTACAAGTATCACAAACGTATCATAATCTTCGATGTGTCTTCTTATGTTCTATTAACTTTTGAGAGTTCAAAAATTTTTTTTTGCATACATTGCAGATAAATAAGTTTTTCAAACTAAAACATAATATTTTATTACAAGTTGTATTTAATCAATTGTGTGAGTTCAATGAAATATATTTTACGTCAACCGTATTGTGTGACCTAAAATACGTAAAGAATTTAATTTTTCAATTGATAATGTCAATTCATTGTAATTTTTTTGTACTAATTTTTATTACGTTTCCAAAGAACCTGGAAAATATTTGTGTACGTATTATAATAAACAGATAATAATTTTTTTTCTGAATTTTTGTATTTTTCAAAATAAAATTTACAAAATTTGCAAATTTACGAATTACAGATAACATTACAAAATACAGAACATTCGTAGATGAATCAAAAATTTTTTATTAATTTTTCAGGGTTTGAAAACTTTTATGTAACAATAATTTTCTATTTGGTGGAAAACGATTCATTTTAGGAGGCGATTTTAGACAAATACTTCCAGTTATAATGCATGGGTGTAAATGTTCTATGATTTCATTATATAGTTATCATATAATAAGTAAAACTATAAAGTATTAATTTCTATGAAAAAACTTAAAAATTTTGAAAATGAAAAATAATATGCTGTGAACAGATAAACAATTTTTATTATTGTTAAAGAACATTAGAAATAGAACCTCATTTTCCTCAAGAATAGAAAACTGATAACATTTGTAACCAAATGTATGGAGATGGTAGAAGTAGCTGATTTTATAGAGTCTTTTTGACACTTTATTACGAACGCTCGTATATTTTAAATAATTAAATTCCGAGTTTTATTAAAGAGACAATACATACTCATTACTGTATAGATTATGCACAATATATACGGAGTAATTGCTCTGAAGATAACATAAAAAAATTTTCTAAAATAAACTTTAAATTATATACATGAAGCCAATAACCTCTTCATGATTTAAATCAAAAAATATACGCTATTTTTATGTTGATAAGAAACTTGAGTATATTTGATGGTTTGTGCAATGGCTCTAGACTACGTATAACAAAAATATTAAAATATAATTAAAAGACAGAAACATAATAACTATAATATAATGATAATAATATAATAATAACTTGTCAAAAAGATAGTAAGAGAGATTCCAAACCCAGAATTAATTTAAATATCAGTAAAAATATTTTTACCATTAATTATACACAGAAAACAGTTTTTCTTAGTTTGAGCTTTTTCCATGAAAATCAATAAATTACAAGGTCAAAGTTTCGACAAATTAGGATTTTCCTACGAAAGACCTTTATTTTTTCTTGGACAACTGTACGTATTAATATCAAGATATAAAAATCCTTAAAATACATTTATACAAAATGATTTGGAGACAATCAAATATTAAAAATATTGTATGGCAAAAAATTATTGATCGTTAACGAATTTTTTTTTTTTCGTCAAAGTTTATTCTTTATAGTTTTTTTTTTTTTTCTGTAAAAAATTTAGTTTTGAAATATATTTAACTTCATTTTGAAAATTAGACTTTGAACAAGTAAAAACAAAAAAAAATTACTCATTCATTACAACATTGTATTTTTAAGTTCTTACTTTAAAAAAATAGAATTACTGTCTAAGTCTATGTTGTATTAACCATATAATAAAATATGAATATACGAAACTATATGTTGTAGGTATATTTTGAATTAATTAAAAGATTAGAAACATCATCAAGAAAAGTAGAACAAACTAAGTAAAAGAATTTTACAGAGATAAAGCGATAACTTGTTAGTTGTACTTAATTATATAAAAAGTCCGTCATTTCGTAAATAAAGTTAATATAATGCTTGAGGGGTTGCCACGCAGAGCGCGCAGTAGAGCAGAGCTCCAATAGTATATACTCAGAACAAGGAGAAAATGTATTTATTTCAATAAAAAATCAACCCAATGTAGCACCTTGGTATCGTGATTTACCCGCCCTCGGCTCCTCTAACATTTTTTACTCCCCCTTCTCAGCCGCTCCTCAGCCCACCGTCAAAACAACGAAAAATTGTATTTATTTCAATGAAAAATCAACCCAATAAGATATTTGATTGCCCCCCTCAGCTCCCTTCGCTGCCTCTTGATTTGTTTTGTGCCTGTTTGCCCCCCCCCCCTAATTTTCTTTTTACGCTTTTCTAAACCCCTCTTACCTCCCTCAAAACAAAGCAAAATTGTTTTTATTTTATTAAGAAATTAACCCAACAAAAGTTTTAACTATCCTGTCACGTACAGTATGGAACATACTACGTGGGATGGGCCTCAGCTATTAGTATTAGGAAGGAGCACAAGTGGAGGAAGAAAGAGCATAAAAAGGCCCGCAGCAGTGGCCACAGGGCTCTTGAACGTCAGGACTAGAAGGAGGATAGTCGCAATAAGTAACTCGGGACCGCAAAGCGCCTGTCCTCAAGGAATATAGCAATAAAGTGATTGATTGAGTTTAACTGCCGCGTTGTTATTAAGCACCCCGAACCTTTAGAATCCCACGTAACAGTTTTGGTGCTAAGTATGGGGTAGATTTTGTCGCAAAATAAAAATTTTTTTTCTTTACACGTAATATTTCAGAATTTTCGGGCGACAATCGGGAAGCACACATAGTGCAGTGCAACAACAGGCGCGGAAAATTTAAGGCAGTCACTTGCAGCTACTATTGAGTAAGGAAGGACTAGAGTCAACATCCAGTTTCAAAGGAACCATCGTAAAGAGGATAACTTGGAGTACATTGGCGCTCATCGTTTTGTGCCTTCTGTCAGAGTAAGTAATAATTCTTTTTATCCTCCCAAATATAAATATACTTATTGTCCCTCGGGGTTGTTTAGCTAAGGAAACGATGCACAAAAAATAATACTTAACCCGAATACGGCTAGTTCCGCTCGTTTTAGAAGCCAGTAAAAGAAATAATGATGTCCGACTACGGGAAAGAGATTGATAACGGTAGGAATGGTTTAAACGAAACTTTTTCCATGATACAGGAAGATTCAGATACAATAACGGTTATGCTTGAACACGACCCCGAATCGTATGCACTCTATGAGAAGATGGATAAGAAAAATCAAGTTCTTATGTTAAAGATATTTAAAAATATAAAACCAAAAATTTCATTTAAGAAAAATCCTAATACAAAATTAGCAGAGCCAACAAATGAAACAGCAGAAATAGAGATGTTGGAAATTGCACCAGAAAAATCAGAATTAAAAGAGAATGCGATTGAGGAGAACATAGGGGTAGACAGGAAACGTGATCAATTAGGCGTGGAAGGGCTAGGCAAAACGAGTTGGCAGGAAAAGTATACCAAACGGCGAGAACAAGAAAATACAAACAGTGAACAACCTCTTATACCATTCTGCGATTGGCCACCTCTGCATTCAAATAACAAAAATTATAACTACTATACATCAAACAATAGGACAGATAGGCTGAGGTTTGGATACGAAGGAAATCATAATGACGTGTATCCAAATACAGAATACCTTTTCCCTGCATTTGACCGACCAACCGAGCTGCCGATAAATAATCAAGCAGAATCTTTTCAAAGGACACAAAGTAACATACGCGATAACCCTCAGCATCAAACCATGCAATTTTTTCCTAGTAATAGGCAACAAACAGGGGTATGGTTAGCCTTAGGCTCGATTCTTCATATATTAGGCTACCTAAACAACGCAGTAAATAGTATACCACTATATAATGGAGACCCCGTGCGGTTTCCCTTATTTGAGCAAATGGTTAGGATGATAAAAGGAACAATACCTGCCCAGTATGAAAAATATTTCATATGACTTTTGGGAAATAAGTTTCGGGGCATAGCGGACGATCAGTTCTGCACGCTATTATCATTGTTTAATTCAATTGACGAGTTTCTGTCAGCTCTATCACGAAGATTCAATAAAATGGGAGGAATAGAGACACTTGCAGCGGAGCTTAAAACTGTCACGCAATGGAATAACGAATTAATTATGGAATATTGCGGGCAAGTCCAGCGACTACACAATGGGATCATGATGGCACATGAAGCGAGCCCATACTTGACGCGGGCCGAGAAAAACGCGTCGAAAAAGAAATCAGACGGTGAAGCAGTGAGGCAGTTTATGTACGGATTAAAGGCACCGTACAACTGGAACGTCGCAGGGTTCCACCAAAAAACGCTAGAGGAAGCTATTGAAGCCGCCATTACTGTAGATAATGAATTGAGTCTCCACCGCTCAATGATAGTGCAAAAGAACAGATTTAGAGCAAATAACGCCGAGAGACGGTATAACGCCATGGTGGGCCTTATCGGTAGCGACGCACCCGTGGCGAAGTCAGATACGGACGAGTAGGACGGTGTGGCTGACGTAAAGTAATGTTCGTATTGTCGAGAGCACGGCGCCCATTCTACCAGTGGATGTGAAAAATTGTGGCAAGATGCAAAAAAAGGAAAAACAAAAAATCCTAACGTTGATGAAGAACCAAAAAATGAAACAATAGAAGAAGAAGGATGGTATGATAGGAAAGTGGCGTATAATGACTATCACCGTCGGTATGGAAACGATAGGAATTTTGATCGACAACAAGGGAATAATGGTAAAAGGCCTTACAACCGAGGGAATCGCTACCAGGGAAGAAAATATAACTACGATAGTAATAATTATTATAACAATAATAATAAAAGTAATAATTATGATGGAAATAGTTACAATGACAGAAAAGTTTGGGATCTATAAGATTACCCCTAGAAAACATTATGTGTACCCTACACGTAGTCCCCCATGACTTTCCCATAGAGGTGAAAGGAATCATAGGATGGGATATTTTTAAGTTGTATAACGATCAGATAAATGCCGAAGACAACACACTTAAGTTGAATGGAAGGAAAATTCCACTACGAGAATCAGAAAGTTTTGAAATTGTGCCGAAAACGAGGCAAGTTATATATGCGTATATAAAAGAGTCGCACAGGAAAATTAAAGTGGGCTGGGTCCCACTACAAAAGCTTACAGAGGGTATTTTGTTCGGTAATTTTGTCGCAACGAACAATAATGGTAAGGTGTATGCCGAATGTCTAAATATATCAAATGAAATAATAAATGTACCAGTCCCAGTGGTGGACCTTTTAGAGTGTGAGACGACGAAGAAAGCTGACTCATCGGACGTCAATGGGGATGACGTAGAAGCATTAGAAAGAGCCTTTGTACGGATGTTTCGAGGAACTGAAAACCCTGAAGAGAATGGAAAACTAGGCAATGAGATAAGAAACGACGCCAGCTGCACATGTTTGAAGAAAAATATCGTGGGAAACGTGGGTTGTGACTTGAGGAAAACATTAAAACAGACGTCCCAAGTTGCAGCAAAGCGCGAGTCGACAAAATACTGGAGTTAGTCGACATATCGGAGTGCAACGAAGAAGAGAAAAAACATGTGGGAGGGCTTATAGAGGTTGACCCGTACGTTTTTGGACTCAACGGGGAACAACTGAAAGCGACAAATCTTTTAAAACATAAAATAAACACGACTACGGATCAACCGATAGTAACGAAGCGGTATAGATATCCGCCAGCTGTGAGAGAGCAAATGAAAGTTGAAATTAAGAAATTACTCGAACAAGGCATAATAGAGCCTTCAGAGTCACCGTACAGCTCAAACATGTGGATCGTATCTAAAAACGCAGGACCAGATGGCGAAAAGCGCTGGCGGGTAGTAACGAATTTCAGGCAACTCAACGAGATAACAATGGGCAGTTGTCATCCACTTCCCTTCCAGAGTGATATACTGGAACATCTGGCGACAGCACGCTATATTACAGTGGTAGACTTTAAGCAGGGATTTTTTCAAGTCGAAATACATGAAGACGATGCTCATAAAACAGCGTTTTCGGAACCAGATGGGCATTACCAGTACAAAAAAATGCCAATGGGTTGCACGGACTCTCCGAACACGTTTTTAAGAGCAATAACGCTTGCACTCGCAGGGCTGCAGAGCCATGAGGTAGAGGTATATTTAGACGATATAATGGTGTTCGCGTCGAATCTTAAAGAACATCGCAAACGCTTTATAAGATTGTTAGAGTGATCGTCGAGGGCAAATCTTACAATTGAGCCAAAGAAGTGCCAATTCCTAAAACGTGAAGCAAAAGTGTTAGGCCATATTGTAGGAAATGGTGAAATAAAAACGGATCCAAAGAAAATCGAGGCTGCAAGAAAATATCCAAGGCCTACAAATGCAAAGAAAATCAAACAATTTCTTGGATTTGTTGGATATTATAGGAGATTTATTAGAGGATACGCTAAAATTGCTCAACCGCTGTCGAAGCTTCTGAAGAAAGTACAGAGTTTGAATGGAAAGAGCAGCATGAACAAGCATTCAAAACGCTCGTAGATGCTTAAAGCACCCGATCTAGAAAAACCATTTGTGGTGACAACGGATGCATCTGACTATGCCATTGGGGCAATATTGCGTCAGGGAGAAATAGGAAAAGACAATCCGTGCGAGTATGCCTCTAGATGCCTAAAGGGCAGCGAAATTCGATACCCTATGTACAATAAAAAATTACTTGCAATAGTATATGCAAAAGAGCAGTTTCGACCCTATCTATTTGGCAAAAAGTTTACAGTGGTTACGGACCATGAGCCTCTTAAACATTTTTACTCATCAAAAAAGCCAGATATAAGATTTAATAGGCTTAAAGCTGAATTAAAGGGCTATGAATTTGACGTTGTTTATAGACCAGGAATAGCCAATAAGGCACCGAACGCACTGTCCCGAAATCCGATTATAGAGGATGGAGAGAAAAATCCTGAACTACCGCGACGAGAGTTATATGAACTTGCTGAAGAGCAGGAGAGAGATGGTTATGGTGACATAAATGCGCCACCCGCACGAATATTCAAAATGCGGACAAGAAGAGAGAGAAACATAATAAGAAAGGATAAGAAATGGCAGATAGAAATATCCGATTCAGACGAGTCGAACAAAAAAGTAGAAAGGAAAAAGCCTCGCAAGACGAATAACTCAGATAAGCTAACGGTCAATGAACAAAGCGACGCAGACTCAGAATCAGAGTGGACGGTGGCGAGTGAAAATATGAAGAGTAAAAAAGCAGAATCACGTAAGAAACAAGGGAAAAGAGGCAGGCCGCGTAAACAGATAGTACAGATCGCAGAAGAGAATAAGGGGAAAAATATTCAAATAGGATCCTTAAACAATGGTGAAGAACAAATCCTATCACAGGGTCCGACTGAGGATAAATTAGCTTACATGTGCAAAGAAGAAAATTTGAAAAAAGGGGTGGGAATAACAAGCACACCGTATTTAGAACTAGAAATACAACCGAAGATGCAACGAAAAAATCGCAAAAGACAACTGGATACGCTGCATAGGCACCCGCCAAATTTTTCAGTAACACCGCAAATAGAAACTGTGTCGAAGGAGATTATCATAGCGAACTGTGACTCACCAGTGGCTTTAAAAGGAAAATCCGAGCCGGTAAAACATTGGGGATTCCAACTAGCCGCAGCCAGCCTAGCGAATGAGAAAGGTAAAGAGGAAAAAAAAACTGTAGGTACAGAAATCATAAACATAAATGCGAATAATGATATGCACGGGGGATACCAACAGGCACAGGCAGGCCTGGTTATAGAGTTGATCGGAAAGAGAGAAAGAATGCTTGACCCTATAGATACCATAGAGATGATGAGTTCGGACGCAGGTATGTCAAGCAGAAATTCGAATAGAGGAGAGAAGAAGAATGACCGATGGGCCCAAGCTCACGCGCAAAG